TGGCATGGATACAGTGCTGAGCAAGTGCGCTTGAACGGGTGTTCTTACCATTTGGCTGGCATGGATACAGTGCTGAGCGAGTGCGCTTGAACGGGTGTTCTTTCCATTGGCTGGCGTGGATACAGTGCTGAGCAAGTGCACTTGAACGGGTGTTCTTACCATTTGGCTGGCATGGATACAGTGCTGAGCGAGTGCACATGAGCGGGTGTTCTTACCATTTGGCTGGCATGAATACAGTGCTGAGCGCGTGCATTTGAACGGGTGTTCGTACCATTTGGCTGGCATGGATACAGTGCTGAGCGAGTGCGCTTGATACAGTGCTGAGCGCGTGCGCTTGAACGGGTGTTCTTACCATTTGGCTGGCATGGATGCAGTGCCGAGCAAGTGCACTTGAACGGGTGTTCTTACCATTTGGCTGGCATGGACACAGTGCTGAGCGAGCGCACTTGAACGGGTGTTCTTAGCATTTGGCTGGCATGGATACAGTGCTGAGCGAGTGCACATGAACGGGTGTTCTTACCACCATTTGGCTGGCGTGGATACAGTGCTGAGCGAGTGCACATGAACGGGTGCTGGCATGGATACAGTGCTGAGCGAGTGCACTTGAACGGGTGTTCTTACCATTTGGCTGGCATGGATACAGTGCTGAGCGGGTGCACCTGAACGCGTGTTCTTACCAAAGCACTGCTATTTGCGATGTTTTCCGCGCTCGGGACAAGATAATATCGGGTGCTCTTACCAAAGCACGGCTATTTGCGATGTTTTTCGCGCTCCGGACAAGAACGTGCTGGTCTTTGCGGTGTTTTCAGCGCGTGCTGCACGGAAGGACGGGAAGGCGCCAGAACGCCGCAAATCCCAGTGTTTTTTCGCGCCCGAAGCAGAAAACACTTCGATTTGCAGTGTTTTGTGACGGTGCCGAGCGCGGCATTATCTCGGCCCGGAAGGAACAACAACAACAACAACGACAACGACAACGACAACGACAACAACAACAACAACAACAACAACAACAACAACACCAACAACAACAACAACAACAACAACAACAACAGCAACAGCAACAGCAACAGCAACATCAACAACAACAACAGCAACAACAGCAACAACAACAACATCAACAACAACAACAACAGCAACAACAGCAACAACAACAACGACAACAACAACAACAGCAACACCAACAACACCGACAACACCGACAACACCGACAACAACGACAACAACGACAACAACGACAACAACGACAACAACGACAACAACGACAACAACGACAACAACGACAACAACGACAACAACGACAACAACGACAACAACGACAACAACGACAACAACGACAACAACGACAACAACGACGACAACGACAACAACGACAAC